AAGCTCTATATACAAAGACAAGCTCTGGCAGAGGGCTGGGAAGGGAACCTGGCTCCCGGCAGGACTCTTGGCACGCTGGATCTCCCCCCTCAACACGCGCCAGCTAAAAATCGCCGGAGCTGGGACTCCCCTCCGGAGCTTCTCCGGCGGTGACGGGATGCGTTCAGCACAGGTCTGACCCACTCTGGAGGAGCCTTCCCATTCCCTGCCCCACATCCCACCTCCTTCCCAAATCACCCATTCGAGTAGCGAGGGAGGGAAAGGAGAGGGGGGAGAGGAGCCCCCCGACCCCTCAGATCTTGATCTCAGTCCGGAAGGTTTGCTGGACGTGCTCGGAGTGCTTGGCCGGCCGGCGCTGAGCCCGGATGGTCAACATGCCGTTGTCCCCCAGCGAGGATGACACGGACGTGGGGTCCACGTCTTCGGGCAGCTGGCACTTGTGGGTGAAGGTGTTCATGACCGTGCCATCCGTGGCCAACTGGGAGGAAAAAAATGGGTGAAAAGAGGCGATTTTGGGGTGCAAGCAGAATGGGGACTCATTATTCCCCATTATTAATTAATGGTGAATTAAGCCCTGCTGGGGTTGTGGCCACAGCTGTTCGGGAGTTGGGTGGGAGCTGGGCGGTCCCCACAGCCCCAGTGAGGATTTTGGGGTGAGCGGGGAAGGGAAGGAGCACCCACCTTCTCGGCGTGCACCTCGATCTGGTTGTTGGAGGTGGTGACGATGATGTCCTCGGGCGCGAAGTCGCTGACGTCCACCGTGAACTGATAGGTGTTCCCCAGGGTCTTCACCACGCCCGTGTTACCGGGGCGAGCTGCCGGGCAGGGTTTGGGGGGTCACAGCCGCGGCTTGCCCAGGATCCCCCCCAAATGCCTCCCGGGTGCGCCCCGAACTCACCTGGGAACCCCAAGGTGTCCCCGTGGGGCCGGACAAAGCTCCCGAAAAGCTCCATGGTGCCGGCGGGCGAGGATTTCTCCTTCGGCCACTGCTTGCCCCAGCTGCGACCCCCAGCTCCCGCCGGGGGAAAGAGCGGAACCCCCTTCCCCGTTCTCCTCCCGGCGAAGGCGACGCCGGATCGGTTATTTCGGGATATTTCGACTTGACGAGCTTTTTAAAGCCTCGTTAAGGCTCCCGGCCGCCTGCCAGACCTCTCGTAAAACCGGCTAAATTTAGGTCTTGCGCCGGAGACGGTGGAAATTTTTCCCCTCTCCGTTCCCCCCCAGCTCAACGCCGCGGAATGCGATGCCTATTATTAAAGAATAATCATGATAATTAATTAAAATACTCATTAAATGCTCCCCGCCGCGGGATGTACGTTGGGACTGGGAGCTGGAGGGTGGCGGCGGGGGGGGAAACCCGGCTCGCTCCGGTCCGAGCGGGTCCGTCGGATTCGTCAAGGTCGTTTTTAATGAGCTCGTTTGCAAACTCAGTCGGGCAGCGGAGGCCGAGGCGGGAGGACGGGTCAGGGGTGCTACACAAAAGGGGTGCGGTCCCCTGAAACGTCCCCGGGATGGAGCGCCCTGTCCCCGGGGGGCTGCGGGGGGAGAAGGAAGAGGAGAAGGAGGAGGAGAGGGTGCTGGTGTCAGAGCACAGCTGGAGACCCTGCCCCACCGCCCGGAGGAGGGTCCGAGGTGAGACCCCCACCCAGAAGAGGGGATTCTGGGGGCGGGGGTTTTTGGGGGGTCAGCACCCTGTGTCCCCCCTGGCAGGGTGCTTGGAGTGGGTGAGGCGGCAGCTGTTCCGCGTCGGGGAGGATTGGTACTTCCTCTTCATCCTGGGGGTGCTCATGGCCACCATCAGCTTCACCATGGACATCGTCATCACCAGGGTCCACGCAGGTAAACGGGGGGCGCCCCGGGGGCTCCACCGCCGTTTGGGGGTTCACCGAGTATACGGGGGGGTCTTTCGGGGGGTGCATTCCCCTCCCGACACCTCTCCTCCAGCCCACACGTGGCTGTACCGAGAGATCGGGGACGTCGGGGTGCTCAAGTTCCTCTCGTGGACGCTGTTCCCCACGGCACTGGCCGCCTTCTCCACCGGCTTCTCCCAGAGCATCACCCCGCACTCCGGAGGTGAGCCGGCTGCACCCCGACCTCCCTGGCTCCCTAAAATGCCCCCTTGGTAATGGGGAACCCCTAAAATTTGGATCCTGCCCCCCCCGCCCCCAGGCTCCGGCATCCCGGAGCTGAAGACCATCCTGATGGGCGTGGTGCTGGAGGATTACCTGGCCATCCAGAACTTCGGAGCCAAGGTGGTGGGGCTGACCTGCACCCTGACGTGCGGCAGCACCGTTTTCCTTGGCAAAGTGGTGAGGGATCCCCTCCTGAACCCCGAAATCCCCGGCGGTTTCAGCTGGTGCCGGGAGGGGGGGCCGCTCAGCACTGTGTCCCCCCAGGGTCCCTATGTCCACCTCTCTGCCATGGCCGCAGCCTACCTGGGGAAGATGAGGACCACGGTCACCAGGGAATATGAGGTGAGGGTGTCACTGCCCAAAAAATGAATGGAGGGATTTGATTTTACCCCCAAAAGTTGGGGTTGTGCCTAACCCCCCCCCAACTTACAGAACAAGTTCAAGCAGCACGAGATGCTGGTGGCAGCTCAAGCCGTTGGGGTGGCCACAGTCTTCGGGGCGCCCATCAGCGGTGAGGACCCCCCTAATCCCACCCTGAGCACCCCTAAACCTCGCCCTGATCCCTTTCCCCGTTTTCCCAGGGGTGCTTTTCAGCATCGAGGTGATGTCCCCCCACTTTGCCGTGCGGGATTACTGGCGCGGCTTCTTCGCCGCCACCTGCGGCGCCTTCATGTTTCGGCTCCTGGCCGTGTTCAACAGCGAGCAAGGCAAGGCAGGACGGGCAGGATGTGCCCCCTCTTCCCCTTTACCCTCCCCCGGGACATTGCTGGGGTGCTCACCTCCAAACCCACCTCTCATTCCTGTCCCCCATCCCAGAAACCATCGCCGCTGTTTTTAAGAGTGACCTCAAGCTTGATTTTCCCTTTGACCTCCTGGAGACCTTCTTTTTTCTGATTTTGGGGTACGGAGGGTCCGGTTTTGGGGTGCTGTGTGTGCCCTGCCCATGCCCTGGCTGTGCCCCACCTTCCCTCTCCTCACAGGACAATCTGTGGGGTCGTGGCCTGTGCTTATCTCTTCTGCCAGCGCTGGATGATGGTGGCTGTCAAGAGGAACCGGCTGACGGCCAAGCTCTTGGCCACCGAGTCTGTACTGGGCGTCCGTCCATCTGTCTGTCTGCACCCTGCACCCGCTGTGTCTGTGTGTCCGTGCCGTACAGGCTCTGTGTGTCCCTGTGTCCTTCCCATACACCCTGGGTGTCTGCATGCCTCCCATGAAGCATCCTGGGTGTCCCTGTGTCCCCCCTGTCCACCCTGGCTGTCCCCCTGTGTCCCCCCCCATTCACCCTGGCTGTCCTTGTGTCCCCTCCCCTTCACCCTGGGTGTCCCTGTGTGCCCCCCCTGCACCCTGTCCACCCACTCTGAGTGTCCGTATGTCCATCCTGTGCACCCTGGCCATCCATGCATCCACTCCATACACCCTCCACATGCACCCTGAGTGTCCCTGTGTCCCCTCCCTGCATCCCAAGTGTCCCTATATGGCCCCCACCCACCCTGGGTGCCCCGATGTCCCCCATGCACCCTGCCCACTAACCCCATCCACCCTGGGTGTCCCTGTGTCCCCCTGTCTGTCCGTCCCCACGTGCCCAGCCCCTGTGTCCCCCTGCAGCAAACCCGTGTACACGGTGCTGGTGGTGCTGCTCCTCGCCTCCATCACCTTCCCGCCTGGCCTGGGCCAGTTCATGGCCTCCAGGGTGAGTGGGGGCAGGTGGGTCTCCCTGGGGACCCCAGAACCTCCCAGCAGGGGCTCAGGGTGTCCATTTGTCCATCTGTCCATCCGTCCAGCTCACCATGAAGGAATATCTCATCTCCCTCTTTGACAACCGCACGTGGGGCGTGCTGGCCGCCAACGCCTCGGGGGTGGCCAGCCCTGGGGGGCTCTGGCAGGAGTGGGACCACCCCTCTGCCACCATCTACAGCACCCTGACCTTCTTCCTGCTCATGAAGGTAACCATGGCTCCCCAGTCTCCGGGTGTGCCTCCCAACACAGTGTCCCCATGGGGTGACCCCTGCCGTGTCCCCCCAGTTCTGGATGCTGATCCTGGCCACCACCCTGCCCCTGCCAGCCGGGTACTTCATGCCCATCTTCATCTATGGTGAGTCGGGGGCTGGGGGGACATGGGGGGGAACAGCCAGGCTGAGAGGGGACATGGGAGGGATAGACAGGCCATGGGGGGACATGGAAGGGACAGCCAGCCCAGGGAAGGGGTGCAGGGGGTTCATTCAGCCCTTGGAGTGGAATACTGGGGGGGTACCCAGCCCTGGAGGGGGGTACATCCAGTCTGGGGGGTACAGAGGAGGCATCCAGCTCCAGGACAGCTGCAGGACGGTGGTCACCTCTACCTCCACCACTTTGGGGGGGCCTTCTGAGGTCTCCTCCCCCAATTTTAGGAGCAGCCATCGGGCGCCTGGTGGGGGAGGTGGTGGCCCTGCTCTTCCCACGGGGGCTCCATTCAGAAGGACCCCCACGGCCCATTATTCCTGCTGGCTACGCCCTGGCTGGTGAGTCTGGGGGTGGACGACCCCCCCACGGGCAGGGGACACCCCCCCGGGCAGGGGACACCCCCCCCATGCCCTGACCCCCTCCCCGCCAGGCGCAGCCGCGTTCGCGGGCTCGGTGACCCACGCGGTGTCCACGGCCCTGCTGGTGTGCGAGGCCACCGGCTACCTGGGCCACCTCCTGCCCACCGTGCTGGCCGTGCTGGTGGCCAACGCCATCAGCCAGAAGAACCAACCCTCCTTCTACGACGCCGGCATCATCGTCAAGAAGCTGCCCTACCTGCCCCCCATCCGCAGCCGGCACATCGCGTAAGGCCCCGCCCCAAACCCCACCTTTTGGGGGCATTCTCCTGGAAACGATGGAAATTTGGGGGTTTTGTGTTCTCCAGCTCCTACCGAGTGGTGGTGGAGGAGTTCATGGAGCGGCAGGTGGTGGCCTTGGCCAAGGGGGACGGTTTCCAGGAGGGGCTGATGGCCTTGGACGCCACTGCCGATGCTGAGTACCCTGTGGTGGAGAGCACAGGTGGGATGTGGGACCTGGGGGGTCACTGTCACCATGGTGGATGGCCAGCGAGTCCCTGGCCCTGTGGTGACCCTTCTGTGTCTCCTTATGCTGTCCCCATGGTGTCCCCCCGGTGCCCACTTGATATTCCCACGCCATCCCCATGCCTTGCCCGTGCTCTGCACTGTGTCTATGCTGTCCCCATCCCCTTCGGTGTCCCGATGCTGTTCCCTCAATATTCCCGTTCTGTCTCCATGGTGTCCCTGTGGGGTGTCCCCTTGATATTCCCATACTGTCCCCATACTGTCCTCATACGGTCACCCTGCTGTCCCCAGAGGATGTCCCCTTGGTGTCCCCAGTACCTCCCGCTGTTGTTCCCATACTGTTCCCTTGGTGTCCCCCTGGTGCTCCCACACTGTCCCCACACTGTCCCCTCTCTCCAGGGTCCCCCACTCTGGTGGGCACCATCAGCAGGTCCCAGCTGGTCACCTTCCTCCAGAGCCACAAGCACCCTCAGGCCCCCCAAGGGGAGAAGGTAAATGGGGTGGAGGCACCCTACCACACCCAAAAAGCTGCTTTTCCACCCCAAAATTAACATGTCACCTTCCTCAAGCTGGCCACCGTGGGGACACTCGGGGACGACTGTGCCATCGAGCCCATCATGCTCCAGTTCTCCCCGTGGACCTCCCTGCACCAGGTCTGGGGGTGTGAAACGTGTCCTGTGAGCCCCCACGGGTCTGTGTCACACTGAGGGGACACGGCGAGGGTGGCTTTGTCCCCACATGTCCCTGTTGTCCCTTTCCCAGGCCTATCACCTCTTCCAGCTGCTGAAGCTGCAGCGAGTCTTTGTCACCCGCTCTGGGGAGCTGGTGGGAGCCGTGAGCAGGGCAGAGGTGAGAAAAAAGGGGGAAAAAAAGGGGGGGGGAAGGGGAGGGGAAAAGGGGAGGTGAAAGGGAAGAGAAAATTGAGGCAATGAGGGGAGAATGGGGGAAAAGGAGAAGGGAAAGTGGGGGAGAGCCTCTGCCCCACCCCCTCTGTCCCCTTCCAGCTGCGGAGAGCAATCGAGGACCTCGCCAACCCCAAGTGACGTTTTGGGACCACAGGGGACCCCTCCCCATGAAAAGAAGGGGAGTCCTGACCCCCCCGGTGGTGTGGGGGTCGGGGCTGGGGGCGTCGGTTGTGCATTAAACCATCGACCCATCAGTGCTTCCTCCTCCTCCTCTTTCTCCAGCCCTGCCGGTTTCTTTTGGGGGGTCACCCCCTCCCAAACCCAACAACAACCGCTTAAACCGCCCAAATCACCCCAAAACTGCCCACTGAAGTGCCCCAGTCTCTGCGACACCCCCTGTGCCCCGCTTCCAAAATTATCAGCACATAATTATCCTCATTTTAATTACTGCAGTTATTCAGGGGTGGGTGTTCAGTGACCCCGAAATCCGGTGGGAGTGGGGGCCGAGTCCCCCCAGCTCTTCGGTGCCCCCGGACTGGGGCGCTGCGGGTTTGGGCGGCGCATCGGGCGCTAACGAAGCCGTAATTAAGCCTGGGGGGTTAATTAGGCGCGGCGGGGCAGGTTGGGCAGGGCGGGCATGCCCGGGCCCGGCGCAGGCCGGGTGAAGCGGGGTCAGCGCCAGGGAGACACCCCAGAAGTGGGGCAGGAGCTGGGCTGGGCTCCGGGCTGGGCGCTGGGAGCGGGGCTGGGCTGCGGCACCCACGGCCGGAGCGAGGGGGGCAGGGGAGGAGTCCGCAGCCCCCCGATCGCCCGGGGGGGTGGTCAACGAGCGGCACCCCCAGCCCTGCCCGTCACCCCACAAGCCCCGCTGTCGCCGTGCCTCAGTTTCCCCGTGGCTTCCCCAGCCCGTGGGCTCCTTGCCCGGCCCGCCCTGGCACACAGGGGAGCGGGGGCTGCCAGGGCCCAGCCCGGGGTGTCCCCCCCGATCCTTCCCAGCCCGGGGTGTCCCCCCCGATCCTTCCCAGCCCGGGGTGTCCCCCCCGATCCTGCCCAGCCCGGGGTGTCCCCCCGGGTCCTGCCCAGCCCGCGGTGTCCCCCCGATCCTTCCCAGCCCGGGGTGTCCCCCCGGTCCTGCCCTTCCCGGGGTGTCCCCCCCAGATCCTGCCCCTCCCGGGGTGTCCCCCCCGATCCTGCCCTTCCCAGGGTGTCCCCCCGATCCTGCCCAGCCCGGGGTGTGCCCCCCGATCCTGCCCTTCCCGGGGTGTGCCCCCGGTCCTGCCCAGCCCGGGAGCCGCCGGACTTTGAGCCGCGATCGGAGCCGGCGCCGGGGCTGAGCCCGACGGACTCGTGACAGCCACCGGCCAAAATGCCCCAAAACAGGGTGAAAATCCCCCAAACCTGCGGCTTTCGCAGCACGCTGTCGGTCTGCCCTCACCTCCCACCCGTCCCTTATTATGGTTTGGGGCAGAAAAAGAATGTGCAACCCCTTTTTCCGGCGTTTTCCTACCCAGTCATTTGCAGGCTCCGGGCAGCCGGCGCGGCCGGGCTTTGGCTTCGGGGGAGCGGCGGGGGATGGAAAGGCCAAATTCCTCCTGGGTTTGGCTGGGGAAAGGGGCCCCGGATGGGAAACGCTCCCGGAGCCGTGTGAAACCCCGTAAAATCCCTGATAACCCCCTAAAAATTGTAAACCCCTTAAAAAAACCTCTTTAACTCATTTAAACCCCCTTAAAAGTCCTCTTTAAGCCATTTAAATCCCCATTAAAACCCCTAAACCCTCTCACTTTTAAAACCCCCTTAACCCCCCAAAAATCCCTAAATAAACCCTTTAAAAACATTAAGCCTCCCAAAAAAATAACTTAAAACCCTTTTAAAGCTCCTAACCCCCCTTACAAACCCTGATAACTCCTTAAAAAAATCTTAAAATGCCTAAAAACCCCCAAAATTTTAAACCTCCTTAACTCCCCCTTAATACCCCCCAAAACCTTTAAAAATCCTTAAAACGCCTAAAAAACCCTTTAAAACTCTCTTACAATCCTTTAAATGCCCTTAAAACCCCTAAAATCCCTAAAAACCCTAGGGGAAACCCCCTCTCTTTGCCCCCCAAACACCTTCAATCTCTGTGAACCAGTGGGAAAAGACAATATTCTAGAAAACCAAAAAGCACATATTTTTATTCAAAACCCCACACAAATCCCCATAAACCCATGAAAAAAAGGGGGAAAAAAAAAGCATCTGAGCTGGGTTTTTTTATTTCCCCCTTTTTTTCTCTCCCAAACCTGACATGACCTTTAATCTCTCGCAATAAATATACAAAAATAGAATAAATTAGGTTAAAAAATACAAGGCAACACTGGAAGATCAGCATTAAAGGGCAAAAAAACCACCCAAAAACCCGGTGGGAGAGGAATAAATAGGGAGAAAAAAAAGCAAAAATAAATCAGTTTTGGGACTGAGCCCTTTTTTCCTTGAAATGTAGGGGAAAAATAAGAAGAAAAATCCCTCCCCCAGTTCCAAACAAGCTTGAAATTCCATTTCTTTAGGGGGGAGGGAAGGCGCAGCACCTGTTTCATCCCCAGGCGTGGGGACAACATCAACAACACTATAAAAAAACCCTTAATAATTACAGAAATAATAAATAAACCCCTCGGGGAGGAGGGGGGGGTGACGTGGAGGTGTGGGGGTTTGGGGTCAGCCCGGGGCCCCCCCAGCCCCCGCCTGCTCCTGCAGCCCCAGCAGGCTGTAGGCGATGCGCTTCTGGTGGCCCGGCAGCCGCACCCCGATCCGCTTGATGTCCCTGGGGAAGGGGAACGGGAACACGGGGTCAGGAGAGGGAATGGGGCTGGAGCCAGCCACGGCCACAGCCCGGGCGTGGGGGGACCCAGGAGCAGCGTGCTCGGGGTGGGGATGGATGGGGGGTGGAGACAGCTCATCCCCAGGGATGGAGGGATGGACATGGCTCATCCCGAGGGAGGGATGGATGGATGGATGGATGGATGGATGGATGGATGGACATGGCTCATCCTGAGGGAGGGATGGATGGATGGACATGCCTCATCCTGAGGGATGGAAGGATGAACATGGTTCATGCCAAGGGATGGATGGATGGACATAGCTAACCCCCAGGGATGGATGGACGGACGTAGCTAACCCCCAGGGATGGATGGACATGGCTCATCCTGAGGGATGGATGGATGGACGAACGGATGGATGGACATAGCTAACGCTAAGGGATGGATGGACATGGCTCATCCCGAGGGATGGACAGACTGACATGGCTCATCCCAAGGGACAGATGGATGGATACAGCTCATCCCGGCCTCTCCGGCCAAGGAACATCTATTTTTATCCTATCCCTCGGGCCACCAAGGCCACAGAAGTGGTTTCCGTTCCCAGCACATCCCTGTCCCTCGGGAGTCGGAGGGGAGGGAATGGGGACAGTGTGGGGACGCATCCTGGGGACAGCAGGGGCGTGGTGTGGGGACAGTTCGGGAGTGTCAGGGGACAGGGACTCACTCGCTGGTCATCTGCAGGACCTTCTCGATGGTGCTGTAGCCCGAGGCCATGAAGGTCTCGGTGTACTGGGGCATGCGGATGGACTCCAGCCACTCCGGGACCGAGCGGAACGGGACGCCCTCGGAGCCGCTGGTGCTGGGCAGCCGGATGGACACCCTGCCAAAAACCAGGAGAAATGGGAAAATGCAAAAGAAGTGGTGCAGAAATGCAAGGCTGGAAAAGCGATTTGAAAACAGAAGGGCGTGAAATGGTGGAGAAAGGAAGCGATGCAATACATGATGCAGGAATGGAGGGGTGTAAAAAAAGAATAGAAAAATGGAAAGGTGAAAAAGCAATGTGAAAATGGGAAGGTGCAAAAAATGATGCAGAAAGGTGAGGGCACAAAAATATTGCAGAAATTAAACAATGCAAAAAATGGTGCAGGAATGGAAAGGTGCAAAAATGGGGCAGGAAGGAAAGGGTGGCAAATAGAGATGTGAAAGTGGAAGGATGGAAAAATAACACGAGTTGAAAAGATGCAAAAAATAATGTGGAAACGGAAAGATGAGAAATTCTGTGGAAATGGAAAGGGGAAAAAATAATGCAGAAAATTGGAAGGATGCAAAAATAGCACAGAAATGAAATGGTGCAAAAAATGATGTGAAAGTGGAAGGTTAAAACAATGATGCAGAAATGGAAGGATGCAAAAAATGATCTGAAAATGGAAGGATGGAAAAACAATGCAGAAATGGGAAGATGGCAAAAAATAAATGCAAAAATGAGATGATGAAATTATGATGCAGAGAATGAAATGCTGCAAAAAGTGGAAATGTGAAAATACCAAAAAATTATGCAGAAATGGAGATGCCAGAAGCAATGAGGGAGTGCAGAGATGCTAAAACCAACCCAAAACAGCACCACAAGAGTGCAAAAAATGATGCACAAAATGTGAAGATGAAAACAAAATTATGCAAAAAATGACAGAAGACACAAACATGTGCAAGAATCAAAGAATCCCAGACTGGTTTGGGTGGGAGGGACCTTAAAGCCCACCCCATTCCACCCCTGCCATGGCAGAGACACCTTCCACTCTCCCAGGAGGCTCCAAGCCCTGTCCAGCCTGGCCTTGGACCCTGCCAGGGATCCAGGGGCGGCCACAGCTGCTCTGGGCAACTGCTCCACTCCCTCTTCTTGCCCCCAACCCCATCCTGGCGCTCCCTGCACTCACCGAGGGTCGAAATCTGCCAGTGCCTTGAGGGACTCGGGGGCGCGGATGAGCTTGTCGAGGATGCTGACGATGTCGGTGAATTTGGGGCGCCGGCAGCGCTCCTGCTGCCAGCACTGCATCATCAGCTGGTAGATGGCCGAGGGACAGTCCAGCGGCGCCGGGAGGCGGAAGCCCTCGTTGATGGCCTTCATCACCTGTGAGGATGAGGAGGAGGGTCAGGGATGGTCCCCCCCAAAAAGGTGTTCATTCACAGAATCCCAGAATGGTTTGGGTTGGAAGGACTTTTAAGCTCATCTCACTGCAGCCCCTGCCCTGGCAGGGACATCTTCCACTGTCCCAGTTGATCCCAGCCTTGTCCCACAAGGCCTTGAATGTCTCCCAAAACACTGGTGGTGGTGGAGGGTGGGCACTCACGTCGTGGTTGGAGAGCTCCCAGTAGGGCCGCTCGCCGTAGGACATCACCTCCCACATGACGATGCCGTAGCTCCAGACGTCGCTGGCAGAGGTGAACTTGCGGTAGGAGATGGCTTCGGGTGCTGTCCAACGGATCGGGATCTTCCCGCCCTACAGCGACACTGGGGTCAACCCTGCGCCCCCAAAACACCACCTCACCTTGTTCAACCACCCCAACATGGCCAACCTTGATGGACAATCACCCACCCTGTTCAAACACTCCAACATGGCCACTGTGATGGACAATCACACACCTTGTTCAGCCACCCCAACACAACGCCAGCCACCCTTCCACGGCCAACCAGCCACCCCTCCCTGGCCACCGCCCCACCGCAGTGACACTCACGCTGGTGGTGTAGGTGGCTTCAGGGTCATCTTCCAGCACCCTCGAGAGCCCGAAATCGGACACTTTGCACACCAGGTTGCTGTTCACCAGGATGTTCCTGGCAGCCAGGTCCCGATGGACGTAATTCATGTTGGCCAAGTACTTCATGCCAGCGGCGATGCCCCTCAACATCCCCACCAGCTGGATGACGCCAAATTCGCCCTCTTTTTCCTGGAAAAAGGGGAGAATCCAGCCTGGAATCCACCTGTTGTCCCACCTCCTGTGGTGGGTGTTGGAGGTTCCACCACATTGCCACCACATGTCACCTACCCTCAGGAATTTATCCAGTGCTCCATTCTCCATGTACTCCGTGATGATCATGAAGGGCTTGTCTGTACAAAAGAAAGAGCCCAAAATTGGTAAAAACACCAAAATATATCCCTCCAAGCCCCCCAAAAAAGGCACCCCCCTAAAATCTCTAAACCTCCCACAAGACCTCCCAAAATCCCCCCAAATGCCCAATGTCCTTAAAAAAACCCCAACCCTCCAAAACAACCCCAACCCCTCAAAAATTACAAAAAACCTCAATCACCTCCAAAAAATCCAAACCCTACCAATTCTCCCCAAAAAAACCCATTCCCCCAACTCCCCAAAACATTCCCAAAACAACAATAAAGTTTCAACCCCCTTACAGACCCAAACAAACCCCAACAGCCAAAACCCCAAAATAACTCCCTCAACTCCTCCAAAAATCCCTTAAGCTCCCCATAAAACCTCCCAAATAAACCTGAATTCGCTCCCCAGAAAAATCCCCAACTTCATCCCAAAAAAAGACCCAAGTCTCCTGAATTCCCCTTGGTGCCGTTGCTCAAAACCCTGTTTTTATATAGCTTTTTTGGGGGTGTTTTGCTGGGAAATTGTTTTTTTGGGGGGGGACAGGACACAGAGGACACTCACACTTGGAGACGACGCCCTCAAGGCGGATGATGTTGTGGTGGCAGAACTGTCCCATGATGGTGGCCTCGCTCAGGAAGTCCACGCGCTGCTTCTCCGTG